GGTACGGGGGCAACACTGAGGGTTGCGATCCGTTGCCGGACACGGAAGAAGACAAAAAAAAAGACAAAAAAAAAAACAACCAGAAAAAACTACAACTCTCTTCTACTTTATTTGCTGGTCCATTTTTTGTTTGTGTGAGTTATCCATGTAAGAATCCTTGTAAGACCTGACATCTGGCCTTTTCCAGAGGTTCAGAAATGTAGGACATATTTCATGTTATGTAAGGAAAGATGTATAGTGAGGAGGGATGTATAGAAAAGCCATAATGCATATGGTTAAGGGGATGGGCTCTAGAGCTGTGCAGGCAAGTTATGTAACTCCTCTGTGCCTCAGTTTCCTCATCCATAAAATGGGCATAATGGGAGCATCTACCTGAATGGTAACTATGCAAATTCAATTAGATAATACACATAAAAAGACTATAGTGTGTAATCAATAAACGTTAGCTACTTTTCACATGATTTAAGTTTTAAAAAGAACAATAAAAAAAAGTCTATTAGGATGAAGCAGCCTCCCCTAAAATAATCTGTGCTTGGAATACTTACACATGTTGGTGAGGGGTGAGCAATCTTCTTTTCAAAATTCTCACTCACCTCTTTTTGTTCTAGGTAATTTACTAACACCACATTCCAAAGGTATTAAATGAGTACTACAAGTCATGCCATTGTGGTTAAAAAATCTTCAATGTTCTCTTTTTAAGATTAATAGGGAAACCTCTGGCCCATTTTTTCACAACTGTAAAAGAGCCTGTGCCTAGAATCTCACAAGAAACCTATTAATACCAATCTTGAAATAAATTAAGAATCCTCTCGTATCTCAGGCGCTTAAGCAGAAGAAAAAGTTCCCCAAACTAAACAAGCATCCAGGAAGAATGTTCACTGTTGGTAGAGAGGAAATAACTGGAAACTTCAAATACCCAGTCTTTAATTGAAGGTTGATTATCAAATTAGTGAATGAATTTGGTATAAGAAATATTTTTTACAAGGAGAAAAATTAACATTGGATAATTTAACCCAGCAGACAAAGAGATTTGCCCAAAGCACCTGGAATTTTATAAACCTAAGCTATCAAACCATTTTATGAAAAATGAAAAAGAAACAAAAGATAAGGCACATAGCATAGAAACTAGAAACACAAACATCAAGTTTAAATGTAAGGAAGATAACTAGAAATTCAAATTAGGTAGAATATCTCTGTCTTTAAATGGACCGTTAAAAAATCTCACCTTAAACTTTTGTGGCAAACAATAATCAATCTTGAGGGGGAAAATATTCTTGCCTTCGAGTTAGCATGATATATTTAAGAAATCAAGTGTCATTTTCAAACTACAACTTCTCAAATTATAACAAAAGTTTGTCCAGATATACTTGAATTATAACTCCTGTTATAGAAAAATTTTTATTTGTAATTAGAGAAATGTTTTATGGGAATGGGGAAAAAACATTTTCCACAAAACCTAAGAACATACTCAAGATCAACAGAAATTCTGGGGCAGGGTGAAACATTATTGAACATCTTGGCATAATATCATTCACGTGAGCTCCTGGGTGCCAGGACAAGTTACAGGATGTGTACAACTTGACAGGGGACACCTAATTGAAACTTGTCATCTGAGGAATTCCGATGGCATTAAAAGAATTTTTGCAGTTTGGACACATCATGGAACATAAGCACATGCTTTGTCACATGAAATCATCCAATCGCTCTGAAGGACATCTCATTGTTTCCATGGCATATTGAGGAGTTACGAAACCAGGAACAAATCCAACTTCTCAACATTGCTATGGATTAAAAGAAGCCCATGTTCAAATGAATTCTAACCCATGTCCATGGTTCCTACTGCGTTTCTAAGGACAGAGAGGAAAACATTCAGGACATTTAGAATCTCCACTGAGTTTGGTCAGTAATGTACTATTCATAAAATGGTACAATTTAGAAATCATGATCCTTTTAGCAATAATGTTAC